GTTAGCATGTAACATTTCATGCTAACAGTATCAGCCTGTTTCCATGCTAACCAACAATTAGCACACTGACATTAGCATTGTTTCCCAGCTGTTTGCTAATACAAACAATAGCACACTAATAGTAGCATATTAACATACCTAATATTAATATTTCTGGTTATGTTAGCACACTGGATGGACTCCTGACTCAACTGTTCACATCTTCTAGTTCAAAATCCAAAACAGGAAGTTCTCCAGTGAAGTGGGTCAAATTGTTCTGATAGCAGCGGTTATGAAAACTGAATTCATGCTGAGTAAATCCCCTCAGATTGAAGTTTAAGATGGAAGTATTTGTGCATCCTGCCAGCCTTTATTTCAGATCTGAAACGTTGAAACACCTGCAGGTTTCATTGGTTTTCTGCTGCGTCCATCAATAACAACTGAACAAAAGCTACAGCAGCATGTTTGCTCACTTCCAGCTGCATTTATTGTTACAAACACTGAGAGCAGAAACTGTCTGTGAAGAGAAAGATGGCAATGTTGAAACTGGGAGAAAATGGAAAATCAATGTTGACCAATCCATAAACATTAGGACCGTCAGGAAAACGGAAAAACTGAGCAGCTGGTTGGAGAAAACACTGTGAGCCGGACGCATCACCTTCTGTCTGTTTCTCTTTATTTATGAGGAAATTATCCAATTTCCTTCCTGCTTCAGATGGTTTCTGGCTTTTTTGGTGCAGTCTGAGCTCTGATAGAACATGAAAAAAATGAGATCAATAACAGTGAAAGTCTGAAATATTTGATCTGAAAGTCAAACTGATCCTCCTTCAGATCGAAGCCATGAATCTCCTGGAACCTTCTGGGTTCTGGTCCCAGGATCAGGTGTGTGTGTGAACCTGGCGCCGCTCTGAGGTCCCGTCGTGTTTTACGCCCCTCGGTGTCACATTGATGTTTGTTTTGCTGTTTCTGCTGAATCGTCAGATCTGTCAGTCCTGCAGAAGACGACATGCACTCAGTTTGATTCATTTTTACGTCGATGTTGGCTCCGCCGTCAGATTCACCAGGAAAATCCACCGATCATCTGAAGGTCAAGACCAAATTCAATCTGTTTGTTTCTACCTTTAATTTATAATCTCATGTCTGGAATCACATCTGTAAACCAAGAAAATGATTTTTAATATACTTTCTACATAATTAAGCCTGAACAGTCCATCAGATTTTATTAATTCTAATGTGATGAAACTTGTAAATCATATTTAGATCAAAATGAACTTCCAGTGCAGCTACATGTGGTTCAATGATGTTTTCTAGCTGAACAAATCACAGAATCTTAGATTAGACCAAATCTCTTGGTATAAAAACTTCTATAAAAACCAATAAATAATCAAATACAGACAAACTATATTAAATTAATGAAGCAAACACTATTTTTAAAAATACATTAAAGTTTACCCAAACATAATACAATACAGAAAATGTCATACATGCTAATTAGCACACTAATTAGCATGCTAGCATGTATAAACCATTAGCAGGAGTCTGATTGCTGTCGCATTTTTCAGTAACATAAACAACCATCTGGCTGCAGCTTTAAGTCAGTTAAATAAACTCAGAGTTAAATGAGGATCTGCAGCAGGACTGGGCTGGATTTGAGCTGAAGGTTTTTAAAGCTAGCTTAGCTCAGGCTAACAACTGGAGTGTCAGATTCATTCTGGGCTTTTACCAAAGTATGAACAGTGATATTTCCAAAATAACAACTTTAAACAAGCTTAAACATCAGCATCCTTTGCTTGTGGCCATCAACCTGCTGAGTCGTCCATCTTCTTGTGAAACCAGATCTGAACTTGTTCCAGTTAACCTGACTCCTGTCCACACTGAGAGGATTTCCTCGCCCATCTGCTGCTCCTCGTGTTGCTGCAGTCGTCTTTTAACGCTGCGCTGAGAGTCGGATGAGCTGAATGAATAAAACATGGCAGCCGAGGAGTCGGCCACATCATGCAGACATAACGCAGCGCTGAAATGCCTTCAATTATTCACCAGCTGGTCTCTGACAGAGACCCTGAAGGATTCCTCACAGGAAACAGAACCTGCACCCAGCAGCAGCAGCATGCCAGGAAAACATCCACTCAAAAATAAATCACATTTCACTAAAAACAGTCAAACGTCTTTTGATTTGTTTTGGGTTTGAACTTTGGTTTGGTGTAATGAAGTCTGTATTCCTCAGCCGTGAAAAACCAAAGTCACAACATGAACGATGGAAATTATGATAAAATTGGACTCAAGCTTTTAGCATTTTATCTGCTGCTTTGGCATTTTGTTGTAGTTTTCAGACTGAATACATTATGCAGAATTAAATCATTTTGGCTTGTTTTCCACACAGGTGTAAAATAACACATCTGAACTTGTTGCATAACAAATAAAATGCTTTAAGCTTCATCTAAATAAATAAAATATGTGTTTAAGTCTTATAATGTCAGTTTGGGCATTTATATCTGCTTAACCACTCGATCACTTGAATTTAATTGAACTGTTGAATTCAAGGTTCCTGCTGTCATTAAGCTAAACTTAGCATTTAGCTTAACCTCGTTTAGTAGCATATTACTTTAGCAACAATTTTTAGCTTTGTGATCTATTTGCTTAGGAAATGACATCAACAACAAAGTGAAAAAAAAACACAGAACATATGGAAAATATGCTTAAACTGCATATTTTCAAAATTAAAGTCATATAAACATTTTGTAAGTTTGGAAAGTTGGAAATTCAGTTCAATATTTTTAATTTAGCTTAGAAATACAGTAACCTAATGAACAAAAGATTCTCTTTGTCCAGTTCTAGCAACGGAGATGCATGTTTTTCAGTCTCTTTTGCGCCACAAACGAAACATTTGATTGGATAATTAAACAGTGTGAAACTGCAGAACGCTGCAAACAGCCTCACTGCATTTAACTGGCAGAGGAACCCAGATCACCATTCATTTTATAAAGATGAATTTTTACTTGTGTGCTGAACAAAAAAATCTGCAGGAGATTTTATGTTCCAGTTATTTATCCAGACTTCAAACAGATACAAGAAGTTGAAGGACTTATTTAACAAGAGAGCAGAATTTGCTGCAGTAAAGTCTAAAAAAAGCTGAACTCCAGCAGGAGGATTGATTTTTATGAGAAGCTATAAGAAGCGACGGACTCTGAATCCCATCTGTCCCTGGGAGGCGATTCGGAGCCGCCGTGACTCACCGGATCGTCCTGTACAGCAGAAGCAGCTTTTTCAATTACGGATCTGTCTTCTTCTCATCCAGATGATTAGTCAAATCCAGCGACCGGCGGCGCTTAAGTAGCTAAAGGGCAAACAGACGTCAAACCAATCTATTTTAGGATTCCCCTGGACAAACTGCAGCTTTTTCAGAGAAAATGTTTTCACATGTTGGAAGGGAAACAATCTGACAGGAACTGAATTAATAGTAATTAATGACTCAAAACAAGATTTGATATCTTCCTGAAAAGTTTGAAATTACTTGTAAGTTAGTTTTGTTTTTATTTAATGTGTAATTTAAGATATTTGCACCAGAAACTAGAGGAAAATACTTTGTGTTTTTACAGTGCAGATGGACTTTCATCAACTCATTAATATTAATAATAACAAAAATATTTTCACTAAAAGGTTTGAATGTTAGTTGCAACTAAAAGTCATCGATAAAGAGTTTATCTTTACAATAAAACCTTTTTTCAAAATAAACTGAATGTCATGATCTGTTTTCTTTTGGCCCAACAGTTTCTTCATGAAGCCACTGAACGTTTCAAAAAATCAACTAAAACAACATCATAAAGACACAAACTGCAACAAATCACATTAAAATAAATACATAATGTCAATATGAAAGACAATATGAATCCAGGAAGTAAAAGAGGATTTTACTTTTACTGTTGTAGACAAAAACAAAAACATAGTAAAAAACTTAATAAACCATCGTTGTGCTGGTTGTTGTTCTACTGAAGCAGCAAAACTTTCAATGAAAAATATACATGCAAAAAATACATGCAAAAAATAATACATGCAAACGCAACAGACTGGAGAAATAATTCATTTTCTCATTTCTTTAAAAATCATTTGAGCTGAACAGCAAAATTAAAGGAAATCTGTAGGTTCTGGTTCTGCAGGTTCTGTAGGTTCTAGTTCTGTAGGTTCTGGTTCTGTAGGTTCTGGTTCTGCAGGTTCTGTAGGTTCTAGTTCTGTAGGTTTTGTAGGTTCTGTAGGTTCTAGTTCTGTAGGTTCTGGTTCTGTAGGTTCTGTAGGTTCTAGTTCTGTAGGTTCTGGTTCTGTAGGTTCTGGTTCTGCAGGTTCTGTAGGTTCTAGTTCTGTAGGTTCTGGTTCTGTAGGTTCTGGTTCTGTAGGTTCTGGTTCTGTAGGTTCTGTAGGTTCTAGTTCTGTAGGTTCTGGTTCTGTAGGTTCTGGTTCTGCAGGTTCTGTAGGTTCTAGTTCTGTAGGTTCTGGTTCTGTAGGTTCTAGTTCTGTAGGTTCTGGTTCTGTAGGTTCTGGTTCTGTAGGTTCTGGTTCTGCAGGTTCTAGTTCTGTAGGTTAGTTCTGTAGGTTCTGGTTCTGTAGGTTCTGTAGGTTTTGTAGGTTCTGTAGGTTCTGGTTCTGGTTCTGGTTCTGCAGGTTCTGTAGGTTCTGATTCAACCTTAATTCTGAGGAGTTTCTGCTGTTTCTCACTGAAGGACCAACTGTCTGGTTTCATGATCTGTTCTGGATGTTTTAATTAATTTTAATTAATTTTAATTATATTAATTTCCCCTACAGATGTTACCTCAGAGCGCGCGCACATGCACGTTACTATGCGTGGCATGTTCTCGGGAGCGCGCATCCACACGTTTCTACCATACTGAAGAGAAGAACCGAACCGAACCGAACCGCAAATATCAAGGTGTGAGTCGCGTCCCCGCGCGGGTGCGCGCACCTGTGAGCGTGCGCGCACGCCACGTCGGCGCCGGTGCTGATGAAGGCTGGTCCTCCCTCCTCATCTTCTTCAGTTTCAGTACCGAGCTCCTTCACGCAGCATCTTCCTCCTCCTCTTCCTCCTCCGGTTGCGCTGCAGGTGGATGGAGGCTGGCGGCCGGAGGCGCATCATGCTCGGGCTCGGCCGCTGCTAGAGCTCGCTGCTCCTGGATGGGGATGCTTCTGGCTTTGTTCCTTCACATCAGCTGTTTCCTCACCGTCTGGCTGATATTCATGTTTCCAGACGTGAAGCCGCAGCGGTGAGTTTGGAGAGTTTCCTCGCAGCAGCAGGGCGTGTTTTACGCACAGCTCGGTTCTGGTTCCTGTTGGCTACAGATGCCAATGCTTCCTCCTCCTCTTCCTCTCGTTTCTTCATCATCCCGCTTCCCTCTGTCCTCCAGGCGCAGCGCTGAGGACCTGCCCGCGCCCCGGAGACCTCCTCCCGGATTGACCCGCGGCTGAGCGGGTGTCTGGTCCGGATCATGGCATGCTGCCCTCACCGGCCCTCCAGCACTGACCATGGGGCTCCGGTCCAGGACCGTCGCTAGCGGCTCCGAGGAGCAGAAGAAGACCTCCGGCGCTCCTCTTCCTCCTTCCGGGGACTTACTGGAGCAAAGCGGCGGCGGAGCGGCGGACAAAGATGGGGCCCTGCTGCTTGTGGGCCGGGAGGACGTCAAGCGGGGCGCTCAGGGCATCACCATCGGGCTGCTGGCCAGAACCCCCCTGAGCTGCAGCCGGCCGGCCAAGAGGAACAACATCCGCAGGAGGAAGATCCAGAACCAGATCTACGACACGCTAGAGCGGCCGAGAGGATGGGCCCTGCTCTACCACGCGTTCGTGTGAGTAAATCTGGGTCCGGGTTCAGGTCCGGGTTCGGGTCCGGGTCGGCTGAGAACCGCTGCTGGTTATGTTTGCTGATCATTTCTCTCCTCTGTTGGTTCTGAAGGGGAACCGGGCGGGTTCTGACCCAACAAACATGGACTGGGACGAGGGCCACTGAAAAGAACCTGAAAATGAATCCTGGTGAACTTTAGAGATCAAATTGTGGAAGAAAAGTATTTTCCAGTGGTTCTGGTTCTGGTTCTGGTTCTGGTCCCTGCAGGATGTTTTTCTGTGGTTGTTGGTTTTTCACCTGAAAACTCAGATTCTTTAATGATCTCAGGAAAAACTTGAACATTTTCACACTTTATAAACGTTCCGGGTTCAAAAGTCAAACATTGTAATTTACTGATTTTTGGGACCTTTTTAAAAAATTTCTGTTTATTTCTGAAAATAACTGAACAAAAGTCAAGAGTTGATTCCACTAAGATCAGAGTTACTGGTAACAGGTTGGATCTGACCGACTGGATCAACTGGATCAACTGGATCTGATCCGTTGTGCAGAAATCGTTTCCGTCTTGCTGCTTCATTTCTGGCGGTTCGGCTGGAAGTTCGGTTTTTTGGTTGTTGGATGAACATCAGATTCGCTCTGCAGAAATGGAAACAGCTGAACATGATCTGAAGCAGGACTGGTTCTGGACCAGTCTGGGCCGGTTTCCTGGGGTTTGGATCTCTGGTGGAGGGATTTTGGTTTTGCATGTCAGCGAGGCTTGAAATATGAATCTGACTGGAATAATCGCCATGGTGACCTGATCGTCGGTTTAATTAACATTTAGTTTACAAGATAAATAAGTTCAACGTTTCGGTTGGAGGCTAAATGTTTTGCTTGAAGACAAATTTAGTTTGTAGATAAAATATTTAACTTGCTTTCTGAATATTTAGTTTATGTTTTGAGCTTCAAGTGAAATATTTACAAAACAAACTCAAAGATCATTTTGAAGCAGGAACATTTATGGACGGATCAAAAACATGTTAAACGTGTTTTTCTTCTCTGATGACGAAGAAAAATCTTTATTAGAACAAAATGTATTTATTTTGGTGATGTTGAACTTTTTCAGATCATTTATTACCAAACTTTACCAAAGTATTATGGGATTTTCTGGATGATTTGCCTGTTTTTCAGAGCTGTTGACCTTTGACCCCCTTCAGAGAACGCGTCTCAGCGCTCTGGTCTCAGCGGTTTTTAAATGTCTGAGCGTTAATCTGATGTTGTTGTTGTCGAACGCATCAGTTTGACCCAAACTAGCAGGAAGCAGGAAGCAGGAAGCAGGAAGCTTCCTGGTCGGTTCGGCCCTCGTTTCTCCTTCACCAGAAAAATAAAACAGACTTAAATTTAGCTTTGATTTGATCTGTCAGAAACATTCGTTTAATCTTGATCATTTCTCCTGGAAGCTGGATCTGGGTTTGTGCTTCAGTTTGATGCCACATTAGTCTGATTTAGCTGCTGCTTTCCGTCTCTTTTCCTCTCATTCAGTTTTCAGCTCTGTGTTTGATCCAGGGTTGATGAATCTCTTCGGTTTCTTTTCTGCTCCCTGCAGCAGAAACCTGCTGTTTGCATCCTGAGCCTCTTGGCAGCAGCAGCCAGATTTTCCTTCTGCTGATGTCGGGTGGGAGTCCGTACAAGCTGACCTCATGTGTTGGTTCTTGTGTGAAATCCTCTCGCCTCCACAGGACGCGGCGGACGCGGCGCTCCTTTCGTTGTCCCTGTGATTTGATCTGCAGAAACAAACTCACCGGCTTATGGAGAAATCCTAAAAATACATCCAGATATTCACAGTTTTCTGAGGTTATTCATAAAATATGTTTTCCTAATTAAGGTGTAAAAAGCCATGATTCAGATGCATGCTACATACTTCCTTTTTCTGTCCTACTGGGAGGACTGGGAGCTGTGGTGGGTGGCGTCCCCAGCTCCAGTGGACTCACCAGTAATCTGAGGCTTCCTCAGGTTTAATGTGGGACTTTTTCAGTAAAAAGGAGGAAAAATCCTCCTCAGATTGGCTGTGAATCGTTGGTGAAGCAGGAAATAATCAGGGATTTTTTCCGTGTTGATGTGAAAATGAAAGTTTCCCTGAATGGAGGAAAACAGCAGAAAACGACACAGAAACCTCTGAAGACACTCAGAGCAACTTTCTCCTTCATGAAATGGAAACTGAAATGGATCCGTCAGATTTTAGGATTTCTGGAGTCATTTCTCCTGCTAGCGCTAGGCTAGCATGTTTGCTAAGGTACTATTTACCCAGAATGCCCTGGGCTGTAGTCCACTTCCTGCTTTTGGAGAGGACTCCAGTCCGCTTGGCGTTCACACATGAATTCAAACCAAACCAGATTTCACTTCAACCAACCCAGAGCGAGGTCGACTCGCCAACCGAACCGAACCGGACCGAACCGAACCGACCGAACCGAACGAACCGACCGAACCGAACTGGACCGAACCGGACCGAACTGGACCAAACCGGACCGAACCGAACCTAACTGAACCGGACCGAACCGAACCGGACCGAACCGAACCTAACCGAACCGGACCGAACCTTACCGAACCGGACCGAACCGGACCTTCTTGATAAATGGACCGGAGTCAGATGGAAGCGGACCGGAGTCGGACTGGAGTCGGACCGGAGTCAGATGGAAGCGGACCGGAGTCGGACTGAACATGGCTGGTGGGAAGTGACTCTAAATGATTGCCGATTGCATTTTTCAAGTTTTCTCGATGTTCTAGAAGAAAACGTCTCTTTAAAGGCGATGAGAGACTCGACCTTTGGATCCCGGTCCGTTCAGCAGAACCGGGTGTAAACCTGGACGGCCGGGGTCCCGGAGCCTCCAGCTGTCTGGGTTCAGTGAGGAACCGGACCAGATCATATTCAGGGACATTTTTGGAAAATCTGCTTTCAACAACAAAGTCTTCAGTTTTCAATGAAGGGCTTTAAAAACATTTGATCTGTGATCATGTGACTAGTTTTAACACGGTTAAAGTGAGTTTTATGCATTACTAAAAATAAACCAGCATGTTTATTCCTGCTTGTCTAATTACAGCAGTGAATCTGTAAATATAAAAAGTCTCAGTAAATTAAAAGAAATGACCCAAAACATGAGTTTTGTTCAACCAGCCAATAAAATGGGGACAAATATGAAACAACGTCAAGCTAAAGGTTTTTAATCGCCAACCTTACAGCTGTCTCAACATGTTTTCAGAGGGAAAAATCAGCTTTTTCTGCCGCTTCAGGATCAAACCTGTCAGGGAAAAACTTAGGATGAGATCAAAATGATTCTGCTGAGTCAGCGTTCCCCCAGTCAGAATATTAAAGTGGTTCTGTGAAACGAGTCGCTGCCGCTAACGAGCCGCTCGGCTTCCTGCTGCTCCAGTTTCATCCTGCTGACGCTGAAATCACAAAACCCTGAAAACTACAAACATGGCAGAAAGGAAACGCCGACATCAGCAGCAGCAAAACCAGTTTTTACTTCAAGATCTTTTATTTTCTGATTGTCACTTTGTGTCATTTTATGGTCAGTGGAAATTGGTCAAAGGTTTTCTGCTTTCAGCATTTTCATCTTTATCAGTAGCATTTGAATTTATTGCCGTAAAACCATCATTAATTTGATCTGACCAGTCCGAACTCTGCCCGGTAACTGCTGATGCGTCTTTTCCTGGTGAGCTGCTCAGATGGTAACTGGAGCCGGGATGGGATTCATCCAGCGTTTCATCCACAAGACTCTCTGCTGTCAGCCTGGTGGGTCTGGACGTCTGCAGGGGGTCAAAGGTCAGCAGCGATCTGCCACCAAAACTGATGATGCCCCGGATCTCCAGTTTTCCCTTCACTCCCTCTGCTTTCACACACACTGAGGCGCTCGCTCGGCCCGAGCCGGTTCTGCTCGCTCTCATCACGGCGTTGCCATGGAAACCGGTATTTGGGGACCAGAGTGAGGAGTTTGGTTCTGACCCGAAATGACCTCCTGCAGATCCAAACCGAATCCAGTCAAAGATTAAAAATATCAAACAGACGTTACAACGAGAAACGAACCGGCAGCAGAAACAGGAACTGATCTGACAGAACCTGGCCCAAACCGGGCCCAGAACCGGGCCCAGAACCGGGCCCAAACCGGGCCCAAACCGGGCCCAGAACCGGGCCCAGAACCGGGCCCAAACCGGGCCCAAACCGGGCCCAAACCGGGCCCAGAACCGGGCCCAAACCGGGCCCAGAACCCGATCCAGGTTGGAATCATTTCTGGACATTTTTTAAATCTGGTTGCAGATTTCTTCCTCCCTGCAGTTCATGTCTAACCTTCATCACAGCTTCATGTAAAATTGAGTTTTTCATCTTTTCATCAGGTTGTGATGATATTCTCTCATCAAAAACACCTGGAGAGTTGCCGTGATGTTTCTCATGTGTGTTTTTGAGAAATCCTTTAATTTCTTATCCTTTAACAACAAGTTAGCTGCGCAAACGCCTGGATGGACGAAGCTCCGCCTTCAGAGCGAAACTCCGCCTTCAGGGTGAAGCTCCGCCTTCAGGGCGAAACTCCGCCTTCAGGGTGAAGCTCCTCCTCTGAGCTGCAGTCAAACGTTTAGAGGAGCCGTGATGACTTCCTGGAGGCGGAGCTCCAGACAGAGCAGGAGGTTTTAAATTCAAGGTGCTACGAAGTGAATTTCTTGTAAGTCAGATTTCATATGTAGCATTTTCATAACAATTGACTTTGATTATGCCATGAAATGACAGCATGTTGTAAGCAATGAGCAGTGTGTGCAGCTTAAAGTGTGCATGCTAAAACAAATGCTATTGAGTCAAGCAACTGTTTAAAGCTAACAATAGCATCACCTTGTTAACTCTAAAGTTAGCATCAAGCTAACATTATAACGAGTCTGTTTAATAACTCATTAATGTTACAATGCTAAGAAAACATTTAGGACATTAAGCTAACATCTTAATGCTAAGACACTGTTAGCATGCTAATGGTAACATTTAAA